GTCTCGGCCTCCTCGGGCCGGTGGGCGCCGGCCTCCCAGGCAAAGGGCACGCCGCCGCCGCTGCCGCCGTCGTGGTGGTTGTGTAACGAGTACTGGCGGTAGGACTCGAGGGTGCGGAGGAGGTGCTTGAGCAGCTCGCCGTCGACCTTGAGCACCAGGGGCAGCACGCGCAGGCCCAGGTAGTCGAGCGACGTCACGCCGTCCCGCGTCGAGCGCTGCGCAAAGCACTCGAGCACGTTGGCCTCGTAGCCGTAGAGGCGGCGCCGGTCCATGGCCAGCAGCACCGGGTACTCGGCCTCGGGGAGCATGTTGTCGGCCTGCACGTTGGCCACGAACACGTGCGCGTACTCGCGGCGGCCGCCCCAGCCCACCTCCCCGTTGATCTCCACCGCCACGGCCCGCAGCCGCTCCTCCCCGGCCTCCGTGCTGAACGTCACGTCCAGCACCGGCACGCGCACGCGCACCCGCCGCCCCCAGCCGCCCCCCGCCGCTGCCTCCCTCTGCCTCTCTTCCGCGGCCGCCTCCTCCTCCTCTCCACCGCTGCCGGTGCCGCCACCGCCCATGGCCGTGACCCCGGATGCGCCCGCCGCGAGCAGCTCCTCCTCGCTTTCGTTTTTCACAAAGAAAGCAAAGAAGACGAAAGAGACGAAGACGGTGAGCGACCGACGTCGCGGCCAACTGCGACGGCGATAAAGGGGCAACGATTGGGGAAGGGGGAGGGCAGGCGTACCCGTAGACGGTCACGGAGGTGTGCTGGGGACGCGCGAACGAAACGACCTTGGTGGTGCCGCGACAACGCACCGACGCCACGAGCGACAGCTTGTACTGCGCACGTGGTACATCCACGACCAACGACCAAACATAACAGAGAAAGTTAGTTGGGCCACCCAGCGGCTGTATCGTCACGACAGTTGGCCCCTCGCTCCGACCAGGAGGCAGTGGTACGACGGGCCGCTGCCCACCTCATGGTGCCCCAGCGCTGTGTGTTGATCGATCAACGCGGTGTGTCGTGTGTCATGTGTCGTGTCGTGCGTCGGGGGACGTGCGTTGTCGAGGTCGATGTCCTTAGCGTGGAACTGGATCTTGAAGTCCTCGCCGATGGAGTCGATGGAGAAGGGCTTGCTCCACCCGGTCTGCACGACGTTGCCCCGCCCCTCACGCCGTTCCCAGCCCCCGCTCCCCGACGATCCGCCCTCGTCGGACAGCGCCGCCAGGTCGTCGCCCACCAGGTGCTTGCCTATAATGTTTAGATATCACGACCCCCCCCCACAAGCGTATGAGCGGATATGATTTCCTTGACAAAAGCGAAAGCGAAAGCGAAAGCACTCGAGAGACTGACATGTCTCCACTGCGGCGACGGCAACGTGGGGGGGGGGCGTACCTTCGGGGGTGATGACGGCCGGGCCGCGATGCTCGTGGACGATGTGAAGGGCGATGCCGGGGAAGGGCACCCCGCTCTTCGCCGTGTCCTCTGCATTTTTTTTTGGAGGCGCAGCGACGACCCGGTATGACGCGTGGTCAGATACAAACGCGTGCGTGGTGCGTGGTGCGTGGTGCGGTGCGTGGTGCGTGGTGCGGTGCGTGGTGCGTGGTGCGGTGCGTGGTGCGTGGTGCGTGGTGCGTGTGTGAAGAGACGTACCCTGGCGGCGGTTGAGGGAGCGCAGCTTGCCCTGCTCGCGTTGGCGCTTCCACTTGTGTTTTTCGAGCTCGCGTGCCATGCTCTGGCGGAGGGAGCGGCGGTGCGAGGCGGCCGCGTGGTCGTCGTCGTCGTCGTCGTCGTGCTGGTGGTGGCTCGAGGCGGCGTCCGCCGACCCGAAGTTGATGGACGACACCAAGCGCGCGCGCCCGCCGGTGCCCTGGCCGCCGAGGCGGCGTGGGTCGGCCACGGCGTGGCGCGCGCGGGTCCGTGGTGAGCTGTCGTCCCAGTCGAGGAGGAGCGCCGGTGCGGGGCTCGGCGCCGCTAGGTCGTCCACCGACTGGCCCGGGCCCATGCCGCGCCTCCTCCTCCACTCGTCCTCGTCCTCGTCCTCCGCCTGGTCGTGGCCGTCGCGGCGGCGGTGGTGGTGGTGATGGGACGTGGGCGGCTGGCCGCGCGGATGGTGGCGGAGCGGGGCGATGTGCACCTCGCTCAGGTGCCGCTTGTGCCGGTTCATGCTGTTCCGCCGCACCCGCCGCACCATGCTCTCCCCGCTCTCCCGACGCGGCCGGCCCGCCGCTGTTTTGTCGGCTGCCGCTGCGGCCTCGGTCGTAGCGGCCTGCCTCTCTACGATTTCCTTTTCCTTTTCCTTGCCCTTTTCCAGCCGCCGCCGCCGCTGGTGGCTGTTGTTGTCGCCGGCGGCGGCGGCCTCCTCGCTGGAGGCATGGTCGCCATGGTCGCCATGGTCGTCGTCGTCGTCGAGGAGGTCGGTGACGGGCAGGGGCTGGGAGCGTAGGAGGGCGGGGCGGCGCGAGATGGAGAGGGGCCGCTGGTCGTGCACGATGTGGAGGCGCAACAGCCGTGTCTCGCTGTCCGAGTGGCGCCAGAAGAAGGGCGTCGACGAATAGGGCGGCACCACCGTCACCATCGCTGCCGCCGCCTCATCGGCCTCATCATCTCGCGCGCCTTCTCCCCCGAAGCTCGCCGACGCCGACGGCGGCTTGTGGCGCGCCGGCACCCACGCCGACGACGATGACGAGGCGTCCATCTCGACGAGGGTGATCTCGTTGGCCGAGGAGGGCGAGCGGCCGTGGGGCGCCAGCAGGCCCATCTCCTCGTCGGTGGCCGACGAGGTACCCCTGCCGAACATGCCCCGGTGCCAGCTCCGCGACGGCGCCTGCTGGTCCGACGACGACCCATGGTGATCTGCGGGCGCGGGCGTGCTGTGGTGGTGCTGGTGCTGGTGCTGGTGGTGGTGCAGCTGAGGCGGGATCGGCGGTGGCTGGTCGTCGTGCTCGTCGTCGACCTGGACGACCTTGAGCCAGTAGGCGCTGCTGTTGAACAGGAGGTAGGGCGGATGCACGTTCTCGCTAAAGTACACGAACGTGCCGGTCTCCTCCACCTTGACCGTGATGTCGATAGCCAGGAAAGCCGCCGCCGCCTGCTGCTGCTCGGACGA